GTTCATTAAGACGAAACGAGGGTGTGTATCCTTCCCCCCACTCTCTCTCCACGTGGAATCGCGGATGACTCACAGGGGTGGAAGCAGAAAGGCTCTTTGGGCTTTTAAGGCGAGGATCGTAAACGTACGCATGGTGGAAAGGCCATAAACGCGGGACAAAGGATCCGCGGGTCAAATGTGTTTTTTTTTCAATCAGTCTTTGCAAAGAAGTATGCACATCGGTTTATTCATCTTCTACTTAAAATCGCCTTCTTTTATTTAAATCTTTTCTACTTTCTATCTCATTTACATGTCATCTTATCCATTGTAATTCTATTTTTTTTTTGCGTTTACTAATTCCGCTTTTCAAATTTTCACTACTCTTCTATCGTATCTAATTTTTTAGCCTAATTTTTTCTAATTTCTTTCATATCAAAAGGTGCTACGTCACATGCCAACACAATCAATCTTGTCGGCAGGAAACAGCAAACATTCGCGCGCCTTTGAGGTACGCGAACCGAGCACGAGAGTCTAAATAAACCGGGGCGCGCCTCTTCCGAGTAGATGGTTTTCCGAAACTCTTTCGCGGTACGGTCTGAGGTTTATTTTTCAAAATCGTCGACTTGAAAACATCTCATTTTTTACGATTGTAAAACGTGCACGGTACGGCAAGGCGATGACGTTTCGAGTGGATAACTGAAATAAAATTGATTCGTCGTCTCGAGAATATCTGAACAAATGAGTTCTCTACTAAAATTAGATTATCTATTTTTATTCTCAAGATGAAAAATAGCAAATAACAATGCTCTCCAAATTTATACTCAATATTCTAATTATTAATATGATATATAAAGGCGATATAAGCGATTGGTAATCAAGAGCTTTTCGAAATTTTTTTGAAAGTGTGTTAATTATTTCGTCCCTTATTTAATGTTTCAAGTAATTTTTAAATTAAAAGAATTACTCACCATTTTTTCATAAAGATGCGTAAATTCTATTTATGTTTCACACAAGACGAATACTTTTTCTTCCAGTAATTTTATCATTCATCATTTCGCTCACTATTATTTTCTTTCCCTTCTCTCTCTCTCTCTCTCTCTCTCTCTCCTAATAATTCTTAATACGTAAACATTTTTATGAAAACTAAAATATTTTGATACTAAATTTCGAATAAAACTATTATTTCTTTTATACTTTTTCTACACTAATTCAAATTATAAATTAATTCAAAATAAAATATTACTTTTAAAATAATATTCAGCAAGAATCTTATTTTTGAATCATCTCATATACGTTTTAATTGTTGTTACATTAAATAGAAATTAATCATTGGCATTCCTCGCTCGATTAACACACAATAGCTAATCGATCGATACTATTTCGAGGATATTTAAACCGCAGTCTTAAATTAGCACGTTGAAACCAATCGTGTATACTAATTAATAAGCCTAGTGCAAGCCTATTAAATTCTTCTCAAGAAGAAATTAGGAATGTTTTTTTATAAAGGGGGTAACTCTTTTGTAATATTTCAAATTTTTGTAAAATTCTCATAAATGTTAAGTACATTTTGTACGATAATTCATATACTTAAAATATATTTTATGTCGACAACATATTTTTTTCAAATGCGTCTTTTCAAACATTAACAATTTAGATTAGAGTTTTGTCATATTTATTATCATCTCGTGTGTCTATTCATATTACATTGATATCAATCCTCTTTGTACTTGGCAGTCTTTCTTTTTCATTTTAAATAATTTAAGAGATAGTTTCTTACGTCCCACACATCGTCATTTTTATTTTTACGAAAATGTACTCGGTATTACTCCACCACCAATTAAGACAATTTACGTTCACCACAATTTTCACTCCAGAAAATACAAAGGGTAGCACTTTATCACCCCAGCGCCTTTGGATTACGGTTTCGAACGTAACGTACGAGGCATCCGAACGTTAACCGCCAACTACGAGAGGGTCGACGATCCATAGCTCACTGGCCCTCTCGCCCCCACTTCTTTGGCGCACCGTGTAATTACTAACGGGAGGTACTCGCCCTCCCGAATACTATTGGCGCACCCGCTATAGAGTGCGACAGAGTAACGGTTCGATCCAAATCCCGATAAGAGTTTAGAAATCATTTTTACAATGTCAACATTTTTACATTCGAAATCAAATAATATTTTCTTAAGTTTAGAATGTTTTATGGTTTTACAAATATACATATACATATTAATTTATACTTATGTAATTAAAACGAAATATTCTTCCAAAATTATTCATATCACTGTTAGAGATAAATTTTAAAACAACTAATTTTTTAGCAAAATTATCGTGTTAGAATTAAGAATATGAATTTTTGTTACATTATATATATATATATATATATATATATATATATATATATATTAAAATTTTGCAGATCACATTTTTATAAATCATTATTTTAAAGAACAAAATTATCTTCTTTTTTTTAGAAATAAAATACCATTACTAATTAGAATATTAAATCGTCATTGATAAGAATTGAAGGGATTTTATTTCAAAAGACATGATGCTACATAAGCGTACTCATTCTAAATCATCCCGTTTAATCGACTTGATTTACACCTAAAGGGATACAAAAGAGAAGCACTATCCTGGTCAGCGATAAGAAAACCACGCGAGCCGGATTCCCTACGCTCCCATTCTCTTATCTCAAAGTGGTTCGGAAAGGGTTGTTACATTGGGTATCGATAACTCTCGTTCGAAATGAGTCTTATACGACATTGAACAAGTCGATAATCCAAGACGGATAGTTCGGCGGATTAGAGAGAGAATTATCCAGAAGCAACGCAAGGAAAAATCTCTTTTTTGTAATCTTTTTATTATTATTTTATTTGTGCTAAAGATTGAAAAAGAAATCATGTTAAAAAAATATTGTCAATGTTATTATACAAATGTAAAACACATGTGCGCGAATGATATTTGTGCATATACATGAAAATTATGTAAAAAATTTTGTTTAAGTGGCGATGGAAATTAGACACAATTGATAAATGATGTAATGCATATAAAAAAAATATAAATAATTTAATAAAATAAATTATAAGAATATAATGAAGAATTTGTATCTATAAAATCTTTCAATTTTAATATAGATATAAATTGAAATTGATGTAATATGCAATTAAGCAGATGTTTAAAATTTTCGATATAAAGCCAGATTAAATACGTTATTTCACATAAATTCGTATTGCAAGCACAAAGCTATATATATATATTTAATTAACGATCATTGTCAAGCTCGACGTTCATCGAGGCCACAATTCAGTCGCAGTAAGTGGCCCATCGAATAAAATTAAGGGGAAAGGGAACAAGGCAGCAGATATTATTTCATTATAATAATCACTATTAAAAGGGACGTTTATATTGGATAGACTTCAAAGCTATTAAAATGACTGATTTGCCGACCGCATATAATGCACGGATCCATGGATAATTAAGAGACCGACTTTTTTAATGGAAGAAAAAAATTATTGTGTATTTTGATGAAAAGAACGTTCATCTTTATAAAAATTCAATCAACGAAATTAATGTTCAAAAGTATGTAAAGAAAATTTTTTTTAAAAAGATAAGCTCGCGGGATTTTTTTGCTTAACATAAAAACCATTGGCAAATTTTTGCATGAATTATTTATTTATCTTTAAACATGATTTTAAAACATGATTAAAGGCATGATTAAATGTAATTTTCATTCGAAATCGTTAAGGAGTAATTGTGATCGACCAAATCTTTAAGTTCATTGTTAGAATGCCATAGTATTTTTGTAATATAATTGCTTTGGTTTTTCATTTTCCATGAAAAGCAGAGGTGAAAAGAAACAAAGACGCAGGACGGAAAACAGGAGCATTTATTATTTCGCCCGGCAAATATCGATTCTATTCAACGACGACCTGCCGTGACCTGGCTGCGTAACTGCTTGCGACGTGCATAACTAATTTCTCCTTCTTTCGCACGTTTCTTTTCTCTTTTAAACATTTTCCTATTTAATTTTTCATTTAAATCTAAAAACGTAACTAATATTTCATCTTCAAAAAGTTTTGCTACACAAATAATTTAAACTAAACTAATAAAATTAAAAGTGTACATATATATATATATATATATATATTCACATAATTATTTCTATTTCAATGATCAAAATAATTATATTCCAGTTACAAATATTTTAATAATCATTTTACTTTTTAAATTACAACATTCTCTTTAAATAAATTATAAGCTTAATTTCACTTTGATAAATAACGGCAAATAAAAATATTGACAATAGTAAAATTCCAGTTACCTTTTATTTTGTTTCATGATCTACTTTTATCTTATTTTGTCTGAAAGTCTATTTTAATAAGAATTCTGTGAAAGAATAAAACGAAAGAATTATCGATCAATTGAAAGATTTATATATCGCTTATATATTGGAACAAAACAGAAAATAGAAAAGAGAGAAAAATACAAATAGGATAACAGGCAAGTATCGACGTAAAAAAGCTGACGAAGACTATTGTCATAGAGATTGGGAAAAGCAGTAATACTCCTAAAAGATGTGAATCTAACAGGGGATTGTTTTCCGTATTTATTAGGAACGAAACATCTTGAAAAAATATTTTAAAAAGGTGGATAAATAGCGAAAGAAGATCGAATGCAACGCATTTAATGCATTATTACGTTCCAAATTCAAATTCCTCTTTAACTCTCTGTTTAACTCTCTGATTTAGACGTATAAAGATATATTGAATTTTATACTAGATTTTCATACATGATTTCGTTTTAGAAAGAACTCAAAACGATTTTTATAATATTAATTTTACACGAAAACCCATAGTTATATTTTCACAACTATTTTGAAATTTTTAATTCGTTTACATTCGTATATTTTTCTTATTATTAATTCTATTAGATTGTTGATTATTAAAATTAAATTATATTTGTCGTTTATATTTATTGTCC